ACAGGATCTCTGTTGTACAGTACCGTATCAGTGATCATTGTGATTACAGAGCTCTCTGATCAGGCTTTTTTTTACAAAATAACCGTACAGTAGTGATCGCAGCTGCCTAAACTGCAATCTGTAATTCTATTTTCGCTTTTATGGGTTTTTGATGTTGAAAAGTAGGTGTTGGGTAGGTAGGAAATTAAGTTATTACCCCCTTAGGTTTTATTAGCTAATAATTAGTCTCCCTAGAATGGCATGTTGCTATGCAGCAGAGGAGGCATACGCCATTTTGGTAGGCAGTGATAGTGCCAATCTGCAAGACAGTGACACTATCACTGCCTCTGAGCAAGTCCTCAAGTGATGGTGCTTCACCACCACCTACAAGAGGACACTCAGAAAGCACAATAGCAGACGGAAACTAGGTGCCCCCAAACATGATGACCCCAGAAATGCCGCCGTTCACTGTTAACAACTGGCATCACTGTAACAGAGTACGACCAAGTGTAGTGGTGTTGTGGAGACATTCTCAGTCACCGAGTGTAGTGGTATTATAGAGACAGACTTGGAGACTATGGTGAGGTCTAACAGAAAGCAGTTGTTGTTGGGGGGATTCTATCATAAGAAGTGTGGAGCTGGACAATAGTGGTATTGTAAGATGTCTTCCCGGAGCTACTGCTCTCAGAGAAGGAGACTTATTTGTAATATTGTTAAGCAAGCAATGCAGGAAGAGGAATTGGATGTACTTGTTCATCTAGGGACAAATGACTTGGCTTGCAATGAGGTTTCAGAGGTAAAGGAAGTTTTTTGTGTTTTTGCCAATGATGTACGGCAGGTTGCTTCCACACTGTCATTCTCTGAAGTTCTGCCTGTGCATAACACTCAGAACGACAGGTGGATGCGTATTCGAGACTTTAACTTGTGGCTTAATTTCTCCTGGTAGCTCTCTATGGAATGGAAATAAACTGTACAAAAAAGATGGTTTGCATCTTTCTCAAAAGGGAACAAATGTTCTCAGTGAGCAGTTCAGAGGTTTTTAAACTAGGAAGGGGGAAGGGTGATAAAACACCGATGGCAACTGATTATGTTGATTTAGTCGCAGTTACTGAGACATGGTATAATGAGAAAAATGACTGGGACATAGCAATACCAGGGTACTCTTTAAAAAGAAAAGACAGGGAAGGCAAGAAAGGGGAGGGGTGTATGTGAAGGATAGCATAAAATCTAACCTAATAAAAATTAGTGGGGCAAACAAAGAGTCCTTTTGGGTTACGTTATAATTTGGTAATCACACCGTAACTCGTGTAGGTGTGATTTATAGGCTCCCAGGACAAATAGAAGGGTTAGATAATCTACTAGTTGAGGAAATAACTAAAATGACAATGAAAGGGGAAGTTATCATCATGGGTGAATTTAATTTTCCCGATGTGAATTGGAAAACTGAAAAAGCTGCTTGTGCCAGGAGCACACATATTCTAAACTCCCTATTGGGTTTGTCTCTAAAACAAGTCATTGAGGAGACAACTTGTAAAGAGGCCATACTAGATTTAGTGTTAACAAATGGAGATTTGTTATCAGATATTACTGTAGGCGAAAGTTTAGGATACAGTGATCATCAGCCAGTGTGGTTTAACCCGTTAAGGACCAAACTTCTGGAATAAAAGGGAATCATGACATGTCACACATGTCATGTGTCCTTAAGGGGTTAATATAAGTACAGTGACGGAGTCACACCACATAAAAACAAACATTTTAGACTTTAGAAAAATAGACTTTTGTAAATTAGAATATGTGTAAAGCAGTCATTATCAGACTGGAGCAATTTAAATGGAGTCCAAGAGAAATTGTATTATTTAAAAGTTGCACTGCTGAAGGCAACAGAAAATTGCTTTAGGCAAGTCAGTTCAAGCAAAAAATTCAAGAAATCACTGTGGTACTCCGCAGACATGGTCAAAATAGTAAAAAACAAAAAGTTAGCATTAACTATTTATAAAAAACTATAGTGAGGAAGATGGTCAGATCTATAAGATTAGGCAGAAAGAGGCTAAGGAAGTTATAAGAGCTTCCAAATCACACACAGAAGGGAAAATAGCACAGTCAGTTTAAAAAAAAAGGGGGGGCAAAACACATTTTAGATACATAAATGATAAAAGGAAAGTAAAACAAGGATTAGTTAGATTAAAAATAAAAGAAGAAATGTATGTAGAAGAGGATAAAGGTCTAGCTGACTGCCTCAATGAATATTTTTGTTCAGTATTTCAAATGAAAATGAAGGGAAGGGGCCTCAGTTAGGAAAAAGGACAAATGAGTCATTTGTTACATGTGAGTTTACAGAGGAAGAGGTTCTTTTTCAACTGTCAAAAGTAAAGACAAATAGGTCAATGGTACCCGATGGAATACACCCAAAGTTATTAAAAGAGCTTAGTGGTGTACTAGCAAAACCATTAACAGATTTATTTAACCAATCATTGTTAACAGGAGTAGTCCCAGAAGATTGGAAGTTAGCGAATGTTGTGCCCATTCACAAGAAAGGTAATAGGGAGGAGTCGGGCAACTATAGGCCAGCAAGCCTTACTTCAGTAGTGGGGAAAGTGATGGAAAACATGTTAAAGGATAGGATTTTGAACATCTAAAAACACATGGATTTCAAGGTCAGAGACAACTTGGGTTTAAAGGACCACTATAGTGCCAGGAAAACATACTCGTTTTCCTGGCACTATAGTGCCCTGAGGGTGCCCCCACCCTCAGGGTCCCCCTCCCGCCCGGCTCTGGGGAGAGGAAAGGGGTTAAAACTTACCTTTTTCCAGCGTTGGCGGGGAGCTCTCCTCCTCCTCCGATCCTCCTCTTCTCCTCCCATTCGGCCGAGCTACGCGCGCATTCAGCCGGTCTCATAGGAAAGCATTTACAATGCTTTCCTATGGACGCTTGCGTGCTCTCACTGCAATTTTCACAGTGAGAATCACGCAAGCGCCTCTAGCGGCTGTCAGTAAGACAGCCACTAGAGGAATTGGAGGAAGGATTAACCCATTTACAAACATAGCAGTTTCTCTCAAACTGCAATGTTTATAAAAAAAAATGGGTTAACCCTAGCTGGACCTGGCACCCAGACCACTTCATTAAGCTGGAGTGGTCTGGGTGCCTAGAGTTGTCCTTTAATTCAGGGAGATCATGCCAAACTAATCTTATTGATTTTTTTTTTTTATTGGGTAACTAAAATAATAGATCAAGGTGGTGCAGTAGACATTGCTTACCTAGATTTTAGTAAGGCTTTTGACACTGCTGCACATAGAAAGCTTATCAATAAACTGCAATCTAAGTTTGGATTCCAATATTGTTGAATGAGTAAAGCAGTGGCTGAGTTACAGGCAGAGGGTTGTAGTCAATGGAGAATATACGAAGCATGGGCTTGTCACCAGGGGAGTACCTCAGGGATCTGTACTTGGACCCATTCTCTTTAATATTTTTATTAGGGATATTGCAGAAGGTCTTGATGGTAAGGTATGTCTTTTTGCTGATACTAAGATATGTAACAGGGTTGATGTTCCAGGAGGGATAAGCCAAATATCAAATGATTTATGTAAACTAGAAAAATCATTAATAGGGGTAGTCCCTGAAGATTGGAAGTTAGAGAATGTTGTGCCCATTCACAAGAAAGGTAGTAGGGAGGAGTAGGGCAACTATAGGCCCACTAAGTCTTACTTCAGTAGTGGGGAAAGTAATGTTGTAATTGTTGAACATCTAAAATCACATGGATTTACTTCAGGGAGATCCTGCCAAACTAATCTTATTGATTTTTTTTTTATTTGGTAACTAAAATAATAGATCAGGGTGGTGCAGTAGACATTGCTTAACTAGATTTCAGTAAGGCTTTTGACACTGTTGCACATAGAAGGCTTATCAATAAACTGCAATCTTTAAGTTTGGCTTCTAATATTGTTGAATGGCTAAGGAAGTGGCTGAGTGACAGGCAACAGAGGGTTGTAGTGAATGGAGTATATTCGAAGCATGGGCTTCTCACTAGTGGGGTACCTCAGGGATCTGGACTTGGATTCGTTCTCTTTAATATTTTTATTAGTGATATTGCAAAAGGTCTTGATGGTAAGGATTATCGTTTTGCTGATGATACTAAGATATGTAACAGGGTTGATGTTCCCGGAAGGATAAGCCAAATGGCAGATGATTTAGGTAAACTAGAAAAATGGTCAGAGTTGTGACAACTGACATTTAATGTGGACATTTACGATGCATAATGCATCTTGACGTAAAAACCCAAGGGCAGAGTACAGAATATTTGATGGAATCCTAACCTCAACATCTGAGGAAAGGGATTTAGGAGTAATTAGTTTAGGTGACTTAAAGGTGGGCAGGTAATGTACTAGAGCAGGAGGAAATGCTAGCAGAATGCTTTGTTGTATAGGGAGCGGTATTAGCAGTAGAAAGAGGGAAGTGCTCATGCCATTGTACAAAACACTGGTGAGACCTCACTTGGGAGTATTGTACGCAGTACTGGAGACCGTATCTCCAGAAGGATATTGATACTGTTGAGAGAGTTCAGAGACGGGCTACTAAACTGGTTCATGGATTGCAGGATAAAACTTACCAGGAAAGGTTAAAGGATCTTAACATGTATAGCTTGGAGGAAGGATGATACAGGGGGGATATGATAGAAACATTTAAATACATAAAGGGAATCAACTCAGAAAAGGGGGAGACTATATTTAAAAGAAGAAAAACTACCACAACAAGAGGACATAGTCTTAAATTAAGGTTTTAAAATAATATCAGGAACTATTACTATGCATGGAATAGCCTTCCAGCTGAAGTGGTAGAGGTTAATACAGTAAAGGAGGAGACTATATTAATATCAGGAAGTATTACTTTACTGAGAGGGTAGTAGATGCATGGAATAGCCTTCCAGCTGAAGTGGTAGAGGTTAACACAGTAAAGGAGTTTAAGCATTTTCACACACACAGACAAATCTCAGCAAGGTTTAACACCTGTAATTGCGCACCGTCAAGGTACTGACGGACGTTAACACGTCCACCATTGATCTCACATACGAAGGGCCCAGGTGGAAATACACTCAGCTACACACCGCAACAATGTGACAACCTACGCTGAGAAAAGTTGATACATTCGAACACAGACATTTATTGTATACAGAAGCTGTATGTAACTATCACTTGTACATTTGCCATAATAACATTCTGTATATATTGTGATGTAACCCTCTCAAAGGCCTACGTGCCTAAATAATTTCTTGTTTGTTTCTACAAAAAAAGGAGTTTAAGCATGCGTGGGATAGGCATAAGGCTATCCTAACTATAAGATAAGGCCAGGGACTAATGAAAGTATTAAGAAAATTGGGCAGACTAAATCGGCCGAATGGTTCTTATCTGCCGTCACATTCTCTGTTTCTATGACTGCGAGCCAATTTGTTTTTTTTTTTTACCTCTCTATGTCAGACGACATATTTGAGCTCATGGACTTCTGGGTTCCCCGGACCATGGCCTGTCTTTATTTACGTTAACCGTTCTAAAGTGGCTATACAAAACAACTCAAAATACTAAATTTGTACTTGTTAAAATGTGACTTTCCCCCCCCCCAAAAAAACACATTTAATCACAGTGTTAATGCTGTGATTAGTACTGAAAGGGTTAATACAATCTTTTTTTTTTTTTTTTTTTAAATGTGATGTGGAATCAATCAATTAATTGATTATCTTGTGTATCTGCCCCCGGCCAAATTAAAGAAGTAGTGCGTGCACGCTCCTAAAGTAATTCCCACCAGACACAGGTTTCGGGTTAATGAAAAACTTGAGGAATGTTTATTCTGAGGGGATGGCATGCCCCTTATAAAGCAAAATGACATCATATGCATTGTCAGAGATAACATGGAATAATACATCAATAATTGGTTAGGTGTTAAGTGGTTCATTTATTGTGCTTCCTACCGGGTGTGATGTCACTTGTATCTTGGAGGTCTCCCCCAGATTCCAGCGCCATCTTGTTAGTGAGGGTGTTAGTCGATATTGAAGGGAAACTCCCTAGCGGCCATTTTAGGTAAATCACATATAAAGTTAGATAATGCTGATTGTAGATATGCTGAGTAAATAGGAATTTTACTAACATAAATTTAGTTAATATTTTTGTCCACAACAGTCCCCCTTAAAATGACTATTTACTAAAGAGACAACAACTAACTGACCCTAATAATGTCCTTACTTGGCTGCAGCTCATCTGTCTGAACAGGCCTTGAACGCTTCACTGTGCGGGTATCCCATAGTGGCTAACCCACTACATCTCCCGAGTCAGACTGTCTACCCATGGAGACAGACGCTATCCCTATAAGGAAGTAGTTGTCTTTTTGAGGTGGTGGGACTGAAGAGGTGTGTGTGGTGTGTCACAGTCTATATCGTCAATATCCTGATGTAGGAATGTAGGTGTGGTTAATGGTCTGACCTACAGTCTTCTGTAAGTATTTCTGCACGCAGGGCATCACGCAGCAAACCAGGAAGAGAAAGAGAATTACCACAGTAAGAACCGCCATACCTACTTGAAGGAGAGTTTTCTGCCAACCACTCATCCAACCAAACCATCTGTCCCATGAATTGGGGACTCCCGAGTTATTTGTTAATTCATCAGAGAGACTTTCTAATTTCTCAATGGCCTTAGTTACCTTGCCATTGGGGCCTGTATTGTCTGGGATGAAGGTACAGCATGTCATAGTATCGGGAAGTATTTTACACACGCCCCCCTTCTCTGCTAGTATCATGTCTAAGGCCATTCGATTCTGAAATGTCATTTGGGAGGTAGTCTGTAACTGTTCTGCCAAGCCCTGGAGGGCATCCCTCGTGTAATTGACAAAGCGTTGCTGATTATAGTAAATATAATTGATCCAATTAACATTCTTGTTAGCGGTGATGAGTGGGATCAAGGATTCAAATCCTGCCGCAACCTCATCTCTGGCCTTGAACTCGTTTGGTACCCCCCTTGGTACACCTGTGGCATCGATATATATATGTGGGTCGAAACAACCTCGGACAGGGGTCTCTCTTTTTATCCTAAAATATGTGTGTGATGAATCAAGTGGGCCTTGGTGGTTATCAGAAATTATATGTATGGACATGATAGCTTTGGTCAGAGTGCATTCTCCCCACCACAGGCCAGTCATTTTAGATCTGAGCTGCATGTCACCACATAGATAATAAATGTCTCCCACAGACTTAACATGATTTACTAATAGGGCAGTGGGAGGTTCTCAATAGGTAGTACAGTAACCAGAAGGGAATTTTTCCACAAATTTTCCTGTGGCTCCATGTATTTTGTAGCAAGTGTAGCTACCTGGGTACACGGTGATCCCATCAGGTGGCTTGATATTCCCTTGGGTTATTGGGTATACCTTTTTCCATCATTCACACACAGATGAGTTTGTTGGTGACTGCGCATAGAGACTTAGGAAACATATTTCAACATCTGAAGGTAGACTGATAGGCACTGTACCCAGATGGGGTCTGGCCTCTCCACAAACATAACAGTTAGTTTTATTGTGTGAATTAGCATTAAACCTCATCCACTCAAGCCATAGATAAGTATCTGAAAACCCAGTCTCCACAGCCATAGTGTCTTCAAACGTGGGATTAGCAATGGCTTCCATGTCTTTAAGGGTTTTAATGTGTGGTTTTAGAGGGTTAATTGTCATGTGTGTAGAGTCTACCCAGTCAGGTGACGTAAGCATGTCTTGTAAATAGAAGGTCCCCAACTTGTTATATGAGTCACCCCCTCATGAGTCATACCCTGGGCTGGTATGTTCTATGTTTAAGGTGAGTTTCATTGGGGTAGACCCTGTTGGCTTACATAAGGTCATTCTGTGTAACAAGGGTTTCCCATATCTGTCAATCCTATCTAAGGCACTTTGTGGTCTGTAGCCCCACGGTCGGCCTGTGTTCCAACCCACTGCTTTCCAGGTACCACAGTGTGTCCCCAATGGCCACCTGTCACACAAATGTAGGGGTTCTTCTTGTTCGGTGTGTCTTTGTGTATTGCTGAGTGTTGTGACTGTGGAAAGGTACAAGGAACAATAACACAGTAATCAAAGGTAAAAGTAGCTAAATGTGTGTTTGAAGAGTTATACCAGAATGTGTAAACATGATTACCTTTGGTAATAGCCACTTGTTGGGCATTTAATAGGCCTAGCAGCAAAAATAGGCACAGGAAGCTCATGGTTTGGCGGAATCTGCTTCCTCTGGATCCGGAACCTTCTTACAGTGCGAGGCGTGTATCCAGGTACTCTTCCCGGCCAACTTTACAGAGGTAGACGTAGTCAATAGTACTTGGAATGGACCATCAAACCTTGGGGTATGTTTTCTGAGAAACTTATTGACCATGACCCAGTCACCAGGAAGTAGCTTATGTGTGCCTGTATTTGACTCTGGATCTGGAATAGAAGAAAACACTTGTGCATGGATTTTGGTCAAAGCATGAGAGAGTGCAGTTACATAATCTACCATTGCATCTGACTGAATTTGGAGTTGTTGAGGAAAGTAACAACCTAACCTGGGTGCTGTACCAAATAAAATCTCATAGGGGGATAAGCTAAATCTCCCTCTTGGAGTGTACCTTACACTAAATAGTGCTATGGGAAGACTTTCTGGCCAGGGTAGGTTAGTTTCTTGGGCCATCTTAAGCATTCTGGCTTTCAGAATACTTACCACTACTCTGTGGGTGATAGGGTGTGTGGAATGCAAGGGTCACCCCCAGTGCTGCCCAGATTTCTTTGGTTAGTAAGGCGGTGAAGGATATTCCCTGGTCACTTTCGATCACCTCAGTAACTCCGTATCTGCAGATGATTTCGGTAAGTAGATGCTTTGCCGTGGTCTTGGCAGTGAGATTGGTGACTGGAAAGGCTTCTGGCCATTCTGAAAACATATCCACTATGACCAGTGCATATTCATACTGGCCACTCTTTGGCATTTGGATATGATCAATTTGGATCCTTTGGAAAGGGTACTGCGGCTTGGCCAAATGGTTTGGTGCTGCTTTAATTATTTTCCCGGGGTTACATCTGGCGCAGATAGTACAGGATCTGCAGTAATTTTGTGTCAAAGGGGTGATTCCGGGAGCCTCAAAATATTTATCAATCAAAGAGTTCATGAGATGTTTAGATAAATGAGCTGGTCCATGGGCCCACTGGACGACAGCTGGGTACATACTCTTGGGTAGACATAATTTGAGGTTGATTGTGTATACTTCATTCTGGAGGGTTGCCCCTTTATCTTTCCAAATTTGTTTTTCCTGAGGGGTGGCTGCGGCCTGTTGTTCTCTAAGGAGCTTGAGATCTGTGGGTAAGGTCTGCATAGTGTAAATAGGAGTCTTTTCGACGGACACTCTTCTGTCCACTTCCCAACACTTTCGCGCCGCATCCTTAGCGGCCTGGTCGGCTAAGTGGTTGCCATGTGCTTCTTCTGAATTTAGTCTCCCGTGGGCCTTTACCTTCAGTATGGCCATCTCTTCAGGAAGCAGTAAAGCGTCCATCAATTCTTTGATAGCTGCACCATGTTTCACAGGGGTACCTGTTGCTGTAAGGAACCCCCTGGTTTTCCAGATTAAGCCAAAATCATGTGCCACGCCCAGAGCATACCTTGAGTCTGTGTAAATATTAACACGCTTCCCTTCAGACATCTTGCACGCTACCATGAGGGCTATTAGTTCGGCTTCTTGTGCTGACTTAGACGATGGAAGTGCAGATGCTTGGAGTATTTAGTCTTCTGTGGTGACTGCATATGTGGTATGATATTGTCCCTGTTCATCTGCGAATCTAGAACCATTCACAAACAGTGTATAGTCAGGGTTGGATAGAGCAGCCTCGTGCACTGTTGGGAGATGGGTTGTTTCCATTTTCATCTGTTGAAAGCAATCATGAGGGGCATCCGGGTCTTGCTCTGTAGGAGTGATGTCTTCACATATCTCTGTATGATATCGAGGGTAACCGACTGTATTGCAATTTATGGTTCTTTTGGTGACCCCAATTAATGTGAGCTGTTCTTGGGTTGCAGTACTCCATGTTTTGGCCATTGGGCCAAGTTCTTTCCATGAGAGATCTGGAGACTTGGTGAAGGAGATATGAGGAACAGCCACCTCCCAATGTTGATATAAATGCGAAACCTCCATAGGCAGGTAGACTAAGAGAACAATGTTTCCTTTGGAGTCCCAAAACAGGTCTGTTAGTGTAATGCATATTTCTACCAGGCTGAATAGTTCTTCTTCATAGTATGGGTCAGGACCTGGGGTGCTCTTGAACCACAGGGTGCAATGTAATTAGCTCCCGGGCTGTTGGTAGTAGGATGACCCTCAACGGGTAGGACAACTGTGGCAAGAGGCCCCCCTTTGTTCCCTGTAGCCACTGCCATGACATGGGTGTTACACACAGGTTTGCCGGTTACCTATTGCACAAGGTCTAGATGATATTGATCAGGGCCAGTGTAGTGACGTGTGGTTGTGGTGGAGTGACTGGCCTGATGAGTCTGGCGTGTAGGGCGATGTTGACTGGGTACAGGACGGTCATCTGGTTGGTAATCATCTGTATCATAACTATCAGGGGAAGGGTGAGCATAGCTGCGGGTATCAGCTGGAGAGGGTTGGTAGACGGCTTGGGCATATTCCTGAGGAGGGAAATACGAAGTATGTGCCTGGGGATGTACCTGTGGAGGAAAACAACCATATGTGGCTGCAGGGGCATTGGGGTACATAGGATAGCCGAACACAGGATAAGACGGTCTAGTGGTCGGCTGTCTAGGCACTCTGTGGTGAGGGCACGCTCCGGAAATGGCCCAGTTGGTTACAATTAAAGCATGCCCTAGTCTGAGGCCTAAGGGCGGGTATCATGGGCTGTCCCTGTGCAGCTGGCAGGGCAGATGACACGGGATATCCTGGGAGGACCAGGACGGGTCTGATGGCAGGGCTATAAGCGGAAATCATAGGGGGATTACTTTTCCTTTGTGGTGGTTGTAGAACAGACTCTAGGCCTTTGGCAACCAGCAAGAGAGTATCCAGAGGAATAATTCTATATTCGGGGCGAGCGAGCACTAGGCCTTTCCTGATGGCTTCCTTAAGGCCAGCAAAAAAGGCAGCAGATAACATCTGGGTATGTGCTTTGTTGTGTACACTGAACCCAAGGTCTGAGAAAGTTTGGGACAATCGTGAATGGTACTTCTCCACGGACTCGAGTTTATCTTGTATAATGTCATTTATACAAGTGGCTTGGTCAGCTAGTTTATCCTGAGCCCAGGCTCGAAGACAGACAGAAAGTAATACCCGACTGGAAATCCATGTCGGTAGTGAGGAGAGCGTCATTAAAACTCCTCTCCATAATGGGCCAATAGGCATCTCCAGCCTTGATCTCACACAGACTGTACAGATCACGCCAGGCTGCTGAGTATGTTTTATTAACCTGGGCAATCCTCTGGAAGAAGGGCATGGGCTGCTTCTCAGGGTCAGGGAGAGAGGTCACTAGGGTTGCAGCTTGGGAGGGATTGAAAGTAACATACATCGGGGGAGCCCCTTTCACTGATGATAAGGCACGGAATGGGCTGAGCCCCTGCACATTGTCATCCTCGGGGGGGACCGGAAATGGGAGACCATGATAGCTGGCAACATCTGGTGAATTAGGGGCTTGAGCGGCTGGAGCATCGGTGCCGACAGCGATGGCCTGGGGAGTAACTAACTGGGAGACAGTGGGATGGAAGCCTGAAGCTGCAGGAGAAACGTCTACAGCATGAGGTTGTCCCGACATGGTGGACTCATTCGAGCCAACTACCATAATCGCATGACTGGTTGCCGTCATGAGGGAGGTGGAGACAGGAGTTGGAACGGGCGACGGGGAGGGCTGGCTAGGCTGAGGCAAATGAGCGGAGAGGGCGGAAACGAGTGACGAAAGATCAAAAGAGGGAGGGATAACAGGGTTAGAGACAGGAATGAGATGGGAATCAGGAAGAGGAGAGGGAGTGGCACTGAAGGCAGAGAGGGTGGAAATAAGTGACGAGAGATCAAAGGAGGGAGGGACAACCGGGTTAGAGACAGGAAGGGGATGGGAATCAGGAACTGGGACGGAAGGGGTGGTGGGGAGAGGAGAGGGAGGAGTATAGGGAGTGGCACTGGAGGCAGAGAGGGTGGAAATAAGTGACCAGAGAGGGACAACGGGTTTAGAGACAGGAAGGGGATGGGAATCAGGAACTGGGACGGAAGGGGAGGTGGGGAGAGGAGAGGGAGGCAGAGTGGGCGGAAATAAGTGACGAGAGATCAAAGGAGGGAGGGACAATGGGGTGGGAGGTGGAAAGGGGAGGGGAATCTGGAACGGAAGGAGTGATGAGGAGAGGGAGTAGTAGGAATAGAGGGAATAGTAAGGGAAGAGGGAGATACGGCAGAGGGAGATGCAACGAGGGGAACAAAGGGTGAAAGCAGGAGGGGAACAGGAATAGAAGGAATGTCAGGGAGATGAACGAGGGGGGTGACAGGGGAGGCAGCAGGTGAAGATGGGAGGGGAGCAGGAATATGAGGAATGATAGAAGGAGATGGGAGAGGGGTGACATCGGAAGAAGTGACGGGGGGAGATAGTAGAAGGACGGGATTGGCAGTGACAAGGGAAGGTGGAAGAGAGACGGGACCAGAGGGAAATGGGAGAGGGGCTTGGGTAATGGGAATGGCGGCATGAGGCGGGAGAGGGATGGCGTAATAATAAGATCCATCCGCCCCGAGGACGGGGTACAGAGGGGTTGGGACAGAGATGACTATGCCAACTGGAGGCGGGGGAGGCGGGGCGAGATTCATTCACAGTGCTCTGGGTGCCATCATAGGGCGGTGGTCGGGGAACATCAAGAGATGAATCATCATTGCAAACATTTCACACAGGAACTCTCTGCGTCTCTCCTGCCTTCAGATCAAAGTGAATGTGGGGATACTATACTATTCTATTCATGTGATACAATAATAAAAACCTGCAAAAATGGTACATGGGGTTCTGTTATGTTCAGGAGACAATTTAAATCAAAATACTGAGGTTTTATTGTACTAACTTATATAAGGATTATGAAATAGCCTGTGAAAATGGAATTCATGTATGTAAAAAAAAAAAAACACAAATAAAAGTATAAATCGCTACATGGGCCCTGCATTTGTGTTAAAGTGTCTAGACCAAACACCTCAAATAATGCCATTTGGAATACTCTGGGTTGCCTACTTTTAAAAATGCTATGCCATCATGGGTGTAATTTTCTTTCCTGGGCTGCCATACACTCTCAAAAGCAACATAGGCCCAGAAAATCACTTTGTCAAATTTACACGCTGAAAAGGCATCTGATAGATTTGGTCCTGTGACTTACTGAAAATAAATCTGAAATAATGGTATGTGGGGTACTGTTATATTCGTGAAACAATGTGTAATCAAAATACCAAGGCTCTATTGCATGAACTCATATCAGGAATATAAAATTTCGAGTTGAACTATCCCCACATCTTTGTTTAAAATTTAGCCGAAAATTTATCCAAAAGTCAAAGAGTTATGTTGGGTCATCTCCTTATTTCTGTTACTTCTGTAATCCTACGACAATGGAAATCATCAACTGTCCCTTCAGTTAGCGAGGTATTACAGTTCATTTTGAAAAACAAATGTTAGCTTGTAAACCAACGCTAGCAACAAAATTAATATTGGACGCGAATACCACCTTACAATTCGATTGGTCGATTTGGGAAGAAGTTATCATATTTTGTTCTTTTTCCCCAACCAGTCACCAAATATTGTTATATATTTTTATTGTTAATTCACTTTGGAATGCATTTGTCATGGCTGCTAGTGTGGTCCAACACGCAGAAACTATGTAAACATATACATACAAAAGAAAAGGAAAATAAAAGGACAGAGTGTAAATCAGACCTTAGAATGGCTGGACTAATACGCTAGAGATAGAGAATGGTCAAAAGCTGAGGTCAAGGAAGCAAGAAATACTCAGATACCGTTTAAACAAGCCAAGTCAGGGGAACCAGAATTCAGAATAACCAGGGAAAAGCCAAGATCAGGATACCAGGAAATCAGATTCACAAAAGATAAACGCACTCTTGGAACCAGGAACAGGAAACCACGACAGGGCAAAGAACTGGAGTGAATTAGGGATTTAAATATCCCTCTCTGGGCTCTCATTGGTCAGAGGGTGACCTCTGACCCCAGAACGTGCGTTGACTTTGTGATGTCACGCGCACGTCCGTAAATGTTTTAGGGGCGGAGCTTGTGATGCGCGAGACGCCCAGAAGACGAGGAGGAGCGGTTCCCGGCGAGCAGGTAAGCTCGCAATATCGGCGAGGTCGTGCCGGTCGGGCACAGCTGCGCCATGCGGCGGGCCGGGAGCTGCAACAGTACCCCCCACTGGAAGACCGCTCACCGGGCGGGAAGGAGCCGGCTTATGAGGGAAGCAGTTGTGAAACAACTACATAAGACGGGGCGCATGAACCTGGTCAGCAGGAACTCAACAACGTTCCTAAGGACCATAACCTTTCCAGTCAACTAGATAAGACAAAGTACCCCTGGAGATTTTGGAGTCCAATATAGAATGAACTTCGTACTCCTCCTGATCACCACTACCAAGGGCGGAGGAGGAGCGGCCACTTTAGTGTATCGATTGCAAGTAAGAGGCTTAAGCAAGGACACATGAAATGAATTGGCAATTCTCATGTGAGCAGAAAGTGCCAAAGAATAAGTCACAGTTGATACGATGGAGGACCCGAAAAGGACCTATGTACTGAGGGGCAAATTTCATGGAAGGAACCTTAAGTTTGACATGACGTGTGGATAACTACACCTTGTCTCCTGGTTGATAGACAGTATTGGCACCCCATCTCTTGTCAGCTTGGATTTTAGCACATTTTGATGCCTTCTGTAATGCTGTATGAACGGACTCCCAAATATCATGAATAGAATCCAAACGGGTGTTCAAGGCAGGAATATCAGTGTCTGAAAATTCAGAAGGTAAAACAGTGGGGTGATAACCCTGATTTACAAAACATAGACTATGATTAGAGGATTCATTATTTCTGGCAAACTCGGCCATGGATAAGAGTTCATACCAGTTAGACAGATAGGCATCGATAAAACAACGTAAATAAGATTCATAAGACTGATTGGCCCTCTCTGCTGCGCCATTAGTCTGAGGGTGGTACGCTGAGGAAAATGAAAGTTCAATACCCAATTGCTTACAAAAGGTCCGCCAGGACCTAGAAATAAATTGGGTACCTCTGTCAGATACTATGTTTTTTGGCACTCCATGCAACCGAAAGATCTCTTTCAAACATATTTGTACAAGATCTTGAGCAGATGGTAATTTTTTAAGAGGTACAAAATGTGCCATTTTTGAGAATCTATCTATGACCATAAGGATTGTGTTAAATCCGTTTGAACTGGGCAGATCCACCATGAAATCCATGGTGCAGTGAGTATTAGGTATCGGCAGTGGTTGTAGCAGCCCAGGAGGAGATTTGTGAGGCTTTAGAAACTGCACATATTTGACATGCCTCTACATAATCTTTGATATTGTTCCTAAGTGTAGGCCACCAGAACCTCCTGGAGATAGCAGAGAGAGTTTTATGGACTCCAGGATGACCTGCTGTCAAATTATCATGGAATAATCCAAGTACCTTTTTCCTCCAAGGTGGTGAAATGTACAGTTTTTATCCGGAGGTTTCTCCACGGGTGCCTGAGCTTGATCTGCTATTATGGCACAGAAGAGTGGAGAAGACACTTCGGAAATTGTAGTGGCAATAAGGCATTCTGGAGGTATGATAGGGAATACCTCTTGTTCAGGAACCTCATCTGTCTCAAACTGCCTAGACAGTGCATCTGCCTTGGTGTTCTTGGTCCCGGGCCTGTACATAATTACAAAATTGAATCGGGAGAGGAATAATGACCATCTAGCCTGACGAGAGGACAATCTCTTGGCGTCCCCAATATAAGCCAAATTCTTATGATTGGTAAAAATCAGAAGTGGCTCTTTGGAACCTTCTAAGAGATGCCTCCATTCTTTAAGGGCAAGTACAATGGCCAATAACTCCCTATTCCCAATGTCATAATTTCTCTTTAAGACAGAATGGATCCTACTCCTATTTTTGACGCATCTACTTCTAGAATAAATGGTTTGGTTGGATTGGGATGTATCAGGACAGGTGCTGAGGCAAATAAAGATTTTAATTGCTTAAATGCCTCCTTTGCTTCCTTGGGCCATGAATTGCAATTTGCTCCTTTTTTGGTTAGGTTGGTAATAGGAGAGATTACAGAGGAATAACCTTTAATGAATTTGCGGTAATAATTTGCAAAACCTATAAAGCGTTGTGTAGCTTTAAGGCCTTTGGGTAATGGCCATTGTAAGACTGCTTCCAATTTGCGTGCGTCCATTTTGAAGCCAGACGGAGATATAACATACCCCAGAAACTGTATGTCAGTCTGGCATTTCTCCAGCTTACAGTAGAGGCCGTTGTTTAATAGGGTTTTTAATACTGTTCTCACATGTTTGTGATGTGTTTCTAAGTCTGTGGAATAGATGAGAATGTCGTCTAGATACACTAAAACGAACATGTGGAGATATTCTCTAAGGACATCTTAATGAAATCCTGAAACACCACTGGGGCATTGCACAGTCCAAACGGCATTACTAGGTATTCGTAATGTCCCATTCTCGTATTAAACGCAGTCTTCCACTCATGTCCTTCCTTAATTCTGACTAGATTGTCAGCACTTCTGAGGTCGAGTTTAGTGAAGTTTAATGCCCCTTTTAACCTTTCGAATAATTCAGAAATAAGGGGAATGGGATAGGCATTTTTTATTGTTATTTTATTCAAACCCCTATAGTCTATACAAGGGCGTAGGTCTCCTTCTTTTTTAGATACGAAGAAGAACCCAGCCCCAGCAGGTGAAGAGGATCTACGTATGTGACCCTTTCTGAGAGCATCCTTTATGTACTCTTCTAGGCAAAGAATTTCTTGGGGAGATAGTACATATACTCCCCCTCTAGGGGGCATAGTACCTGGTAACAATTTTATGGCACAGTCGTAGGGTCTATGTGGGGGTAATACTTCCGACTGAACCTTGTTGAATACCTCTTTTAAGTCCAAATACTGCGGTGGAACTTCTGTTGTTAAGGGAGGCGCTATAGGTACATTGATAGTACCAATTCGTTGTGACACCCTTTTTAAACAAAGACCTCTGCATCTCTCACCCCAACTCACTATTTCTCCTTCAACCCAATCTAAACGTGGATTGTGTTTCTGGAGCCAACGGAAACCCAGTATTATCGGACATGTTGGAGAAGATATAATTTGGAAAACCATTTCTTCCTAATTTAAGATACCCACTGAGACAGTGATCGGCAGGGTTTCATGCGTGATGAGAGGCTGGGTAAGAGGTCTCCCATCGATAGCCTCTACTGCTATGGGTCTATCTTTCTGCCTTAAGGGCAGGAGATGCTTGGCAGAGAATTCCTTGTCTAGAAAATTCTCCACTGCCCCAGAGTCAATCATAGCCTCGCACTGTATAGTTGTTTTCTTATAAGACAAAGTAATTTTTATAAGGAAACAGTTCTTAGTCAATTTAGGGGACATATATATCACACCTAAGGTTGGTCCAAGAACGTGCCTTAGGTGTGCAAGTTTTCCGGCCGAACTGGACATGAAAACCTTTAATGTCCCCTTTTGCCACAATATAAACACAACCCCTCATTACGTCTGTGTTGTCTCTCTGCTTCAGTGAGTTTAGCAATGCCCAGTTGCATGGGTTCAGGTTCTGGAGGTGGAGCATGGCTAATTACCACCGGGTTAGAGAAACGAGGGGCTATGGATAAGTTAGAGCATCTAGAACGCTGTTTGTTTTTCTCTCTCTCTCTGAGCCTGTTATCAATATCTATAATGTATGCAATAAAGTAATTAAGGTTAATTGGAAGATCTCTGGCTGCGGTCTCGTCTTGTATATTTTCTGCTAAACCTTCGGCAAAGGCAGCTACTAAACCGCTATTGGTCCAGTCAACTTCAGACGCCAATGTCATGAACTCTATGGCGTAATCAGCTACAGAGCGGTTGCCTTGTTTTATTTTCATTAGAGCTTTGGCAGCATTCTTTTCTCTTCCTTTTAGTTCAAAAGTAGCTTTAAATGCTGATAGGAATACATAGTAATCACGGGCAACTGGACTTTCACTCTCCCATAAGGGATTGGCCGAGGTTAAAGCCTTACCCGTTAATTGGTTCATTAGCCAATTTTCGATCTATCTGTAGGGAATGAACCAGGGGAAGCTTCGAAGTGATATTCAATTTGGTTTAAAAAACCTCTAAATTCCTTAGAATCACCTCCAAAATGAGGGGGAGGTGAACGGTTTAAGGGACGGTGGTTTGTGTGCCACAGGTGCTACTACAGGTGGTGGAGGTGCCTCTAGATAGGCAGTTCTCTGGAGCAAGGTCTGGAATGCATGGGCAAACTGATCTAACCTGTGGTCCATATCCTCCACCCTACTCTCACAGGCAATCATATGTTTGCATAGTTCCGCAGGATCCATGGCCCTGTCGTAATGTCACGGTTGCTAGTGTGGTCCAACACGCAGAAACTATGTAAACATATACATACAAAAGAAAAGGAAAATAAAAGGACAGAGCGTAAATCGGACCTTAGAATGGCCGGACTAATACGCTAGAGATAGAGAATGGTCAAAGGGAAAGCCGAGGTCAAGGAAGCCAGAAATACTCAGATACCATTTAAATAAGCCAAGTCAGGGGAACCAGAATTTGGAATAACCAGGGAAAAGCCAAGATCAGGATACCAGGAAATCAGATTCACAAAGATAAACGCACTCTTGGAACCAGGAACAGGGAACCACAACAGGGCAAAGAACTGGAGTGAATTAGGGATTTAAATATCCCTCTCTGGGCTCTGATTGGTCAGAGGGTGACCTCCGACCCCAGAACGTGCGCGTGCGTTGACGTTGTGACATCACGCGCACGTCCGTAAATGTTTTAGGGGCGGAGCTTGTGATGCGTGAGACCATGTGGTCAGCACCATCTTTGATTTGGGCGCAACACCCAGAAGACGAGGAGGAGCGGTTCCCGGTGAGCAGGTAAGCTCGCAATATCGGCGCGTGCGTTGACGTCACGCGCACATCCGTATAAATTTTAGGGGCGGAGCTTGTGATGCGCGCGACCACATGGTCAGCGCCATCTTTGATTTGGGTGCGACGCCCAGAAGACGCTGAGGAGCGGTTCCCGGCTCGCAGGTAAGCTCGCAATATCGGCAAGGTCGTGGCGGTCGGGCACAGCTGCGCCATGTGGCGGGCCAGGAGCCGCAACAGCATTATGGCTATTAACCCCTTAAGGACGGAGCCAAATGTACACGTTGTTAACGAAACAAAATGTAAACAAAACCTGGCATTTGCCCTACATGTCTGTCCAACCGTAATTCACCTCTTTCATAGTAAATACACCCACCCTTATTATATATCATTTTATTCACGGGAAACAGGGCTTTCATTTAATATCAAATATTTAGCTATGAAACATAATTTAATATGAAAAAAATGGGAGAAAATAAGATTTTGTTTGATTTTTTTAGTTCTATATGACATTTTAACGGTCAATGTCATAATACTGTTTGCTTTTACTGCAATAAAATACACATATTTGTATTCAGCAAAGTCTCACGTGTAAAACAGTACCCCCTATGTACAGGTTTTATGGCGTTTTTGGGAAGTTACAGGGTCAAATATAGCACGTTACATTTGAAATTGAAATTCGCCAGATTGGTTACGTTGCCTTTGGGACTTTATAGTAGCCCAGGAATTAAATTTACACCCTTAATGGCATACCATTTGCAATAGTAGACAACCCAAGGTATTGCAAATGGGGTATGTCCAGTCTTTTGTAGTAGCCATTTGGTCACAAACACTGGCCAAAGTTAGCGTTAGTATTTGTTTGTGTGAAAAATGCAAAAAACTGCAATTTTGGCCAGTGTCTGTGACTAAGTGGCTACTAAAAAAGACTGGACATACCCCGTTTGCAATACCTTGGGTTGTCTACTATTGCAAATGGTATGCCATCATAGGGGTAATTTTCATTCTTGGGCTACCATAGGGTCTCAAATGCACCGTAACCAATCTGGCAAATTTTAATGTGAAAAAAATGAAACGCAAGCCTTATATTTGGCGATGTAACTTTTGAAAACACCATAAAACCTGTACATGAGGGGTACTGTTGTACTCGGGAGACTTCGCTGAACACAAATATTTGTGTTTCAAAACAGCAAAAAGTATCACAGCAATAATATCGTCCGTGTAAGTGCTGTTTGTGCAGGAAAAATGCAAAAAAATGCACTTTTACTGGCGATATCATCGTTATAATACATTTTACTGTTTTGAAACACTAATATTTGTGTTCAGCGAAGTCTCCCGAGTAGAACAGTACCCCCCATGTACAGGTTTTATGGTGTCTTGGAAAGTTATAGGGTTAAATATAGTGCTAGCAAATTAAATTCCCTTTACTTTCGGCATGGCTTGTCAGGCAGGTCCCGCTAATTGTAATTAATTAAGATACCTAATTATGTAAAAATATTACATAAATATATATGTAGAATTATTATTTGTATATATATATACGTATGTGAATCTATATGTGTATATATAATTTTTTTTAAATATTTTTATTTATATATAGGTATATATATAGTGATATATACGTATATATTTATGTATGTAGATATATATATTATTTAGTTCTATGTGTATTTTGATATAAATATATATATATATTAATATCACAATACAGTTAGAACGAAATAACACACATCTATATATTTTGTAATAATTTTTTTAAAATAATTTTTGTAATTTTATTTTTTAACGTATTTACATATTTAATTTTTTTATATTATATATAAATATATATATAACAATAATTATATATATATTTAATCAGTATCAGTCTACGTGTAATTTGATATTAATATATATATATATATATATAATTATATATATATTAATAGTAAAATACACCTAGACAGTGTATGTGTGTGTATGTATATGTGTGTATATATATACTTAGATCATATATATATAACATATATATGATCTAAATATATATATATTTTTTTTTTTTTTACACTTTAATTAATTAATTAATTTTATTTTTATTTTCAGCCAGCAGGGGGACCACCTGTCATTACAGGCAGCCCCCATGCTGGCAATGCAGCAGGCAGCCTACCCGGCCATGTGATTGTGGGGTCCTCGCAAGGACCTCACTCTCACATGGCCGGGGGGTTTCCAGGGGGTCGGACGTGCCGCGGGGGGCTCCCTGGGAGTCCCCCCCACCGCGATCGCCGGCGTGGGTGCCTGTGTCCTAATATTTACTGGTGTGGCTTACTAAAGCATGCTCCATGTCTAGTACATCATGTGAATCATGTTGCGCTCTTTTAAGGCAGTGTGCCTGTCTGAGCATGGTAGCAGTCCATGTCCATGGGTGTATGCTGATTTGCAGGAGTCTGCCATGTGTAGCAGGATTCAGGGGTCATCTGTGCTGGCGTCATCACCGGAGCTGACCAGCAGGCAGTCTGGGTCTTCTTACCCACTTACCCAATTCCCAGTCTGTGGGTATGTTGTTGACCGCTCTGCTTTGGACCTGCATGTGTGCCTCTTGGTAGGTGCCATTATGGTTTGCTTCTTCCCCTCCTCATGTGGCCTGACTGTGTCTCTCATGCATGAGTGCTGTGGGTGGTCTGGGCTGGATCGCTGAGTGTGTGAGCTGGCAGCCGGTGTCTTCGTGGGGTGCTCGGTATCCGAGGCTGAGAGCTCTGCGAGAGCAGTCTCACCTGCATGGACTGGTTTCCAGGCGAGTGAGCTCTGGTAGTGGGACGGCTTGTACTGAGTCGTGGTATGTTCCGTGCCTTCCTTCGTCTCTTCATTATGATCAGCCTCTCGGCGCCACTAAGTGGTGCAGGTTGTGGTGCTTTTGTCGCCGCCAGCTTTTGTACTGGGTCTACGATTGCTGGCCCTTGTGGCTGTTCGGCGAGTTTCTCCCAGAATTGCGTCCAAAAGCAATCAAATGCCCTTGTTATGTTGTCCTTGTGGGGGGCCCATGGGTCTGGGTTTCGTGCGGCGGCCATCTTTGCAGCTAGAATGCCGGTTTGTGGATTCAGTCGCTTGGTGCTATTTTGCACTTGTTCGTGTCCTGTTGCTTTGTGGGGACCGGGATAACCCCCACCGGCTCATAGGGGGGAAGTGTGGTCAGGACCGTCGTCGATTTGTAGGCGAGGCGGGAGATCGGCTCCGTCCTCCGCCTCAGTGTAGTCAGCAGGCCGCAATGACTGTCAGGGCTCATAAAGCTCTTAGCAGGGTGGTAGAAATTGGTGCCCGGTCTCTCCAGTGCCTTCAGGGATCTGGTTCATCCGGTACTTTATAGCAGGTATCAAATTTTGGGCCAATTTCTCTGTATTTGCAGAGGAGCTCAACATGCGTCCTGCTCGCTCAGTAGTCAGACCGCGCCCCCACAAATCTATGTGTTTTATTGTAGTATATTGCAGTATTCTGACATTCACAGTTATTATACATTGCAGAACTTCAAAAATAACATTTCCTAATTTTTCTAACTTTTTAGATTTTATTAATATAAAACTAAGTTCCATAAATTATATGAAAAAAAAGCTTTGTTTCTCCTGAACAAAATGACATATAATAAGTGTGGGTGTACTTAATAGGAAAGAGGTAAATGAATGTTGAACAGACATGAAATTCTGTGGTTTGTTTACATTTTGTTTTATTATTTTATTATTTAAATAATGCCATCAGATTCCAAAGCGCTGTACAATGGGATGATCACAACTTGTACAATTCGCTCAGTCTTTAACCCCTCAAGGATGCATGCCGGACCCAGTCCGTCATGCTAGGGAAGCCCCTAAGGACAGTCCGTCATGCGCTAAAATTAACCCCAGATCGGCACGATCACGAGGTTAACACTCCTCCGGTCTGCCTCGGTATTCGAGGCAGACCGGATCACCCAATCGCGCTGTCCCTGCAGCTGTGATTGCTCTGACAGGCTGTCAGAGCGAGCACATGTGCTGCAGGGACTCCTGATTTGCCTCCCTGCGCTTCCGCGGTCATGAAATGCAGGGAGACGGATCAGTGCTGATCCTCTTCACCCTGTGAAAAAACATTAAGTAAAGTTAAATCCCTTTTAAAATGAATCCCTTTCCTGCCAGTTGATCTCTGACTACAGTGATCAATTGGCAGGGACTACATTTTACTGTGATTTGTTTTTAACCCCATGAGAGTTAACGTTTATTTTTTTTTAACCTTCAGGGGTTAAATTTATTTTATTAATTAGGTTAAATATTTTAAAATTATATATTTAGCTAGGTGGGGTCAGTGGTGTATCCTGGTTTTGTGCTGCCCTAGGCAGGACAAAACTCAGGCACCCCCCCCGCGCCACCCCCACCCGCGCAACCGCCACCCAACCTTCCCCCCTGCTCCGCCTTCTAAATACACACACACATTCACTGACAGATACGCATTCACTAGCTAACAGAAACACACAGTCACTAACAGACACACACACTCACAGGCAAACACACACACACTCACAGGCAAACACACACACACACACTAACAGGCAAACACACACACACACTAACAGGCAAACACACACACTAACAGACATCCACACTAACAGACATCCACACTAACAGACATCCACACTAACAGACACACACACACTAACACTAACATACATACACTAACATTAACATACACACTAACACTAACAGACACACACTCACACACTCACTAACAGACACACACACTCACAGGCAAACACACACACTAACAGACATCCACACTAACAGACATCCACACTAACAGACATCCACACTAACAGACATCCACACTACACACTAACACTAACATACATACACTAACATTAACATACACACTAACACTAACAGACACACACACTAACACTAACATACACACACTAACATACACACACTAACACTAACATACACACTAACAGACACAAACACTAACATACACACACTAACAGACACACACTAACAGACACACTAACATACACACACTAACAGACATCCACACACACACACTAACATACACACACTAACACACACACACACTAACATACACACACTAACATACATACACTAACATACACACTAGCAGACATACACACACTCACTAGTGTTTTTTTTTTATTTTTTTATTTAACCCCCCCCAGCCTCCTTACCTTTGGTAATGCTGGGGGGTTCTTCCTCTCCCTGGGGTCCAGTGGCTGCAGGGCGGGCGGGCGGCCGCCGAGGGAGCACTTCCCCTGAGCGCTCTGCTCAGCTCCCTCGCGCGCCGCCAGCAGAGTGAGGCTGGGAGCCGGAATATGACGTCATCAACCCGGCTCCCAGCCTCACTCTGCTAGCGGCGCGCGAGGGAGCTGAGCAGAGCGCTCAGGGGAAGAGCTCCCTCGCCGGCCGCCCGCCCAGCGCTGCAGCCACTGCCGCCCATCGCCCAGAATGTCTTGGGCATTTGGGCATTTGGGGGGCGGCGTTTTTTGCCGCCCCCTGAAAAATGCCGCCCAAGGCAAATGCCTTGTTTGCCTCGCGGCTAATACGCCCCTGGGTGGGGTGGGTGGAAGTTAGTGGGGAATTGGGAAATTTGGTGTTAGGCTAGCTAGGGGTTAACATTAAAAAGCTTTTAAAAAAAAGCTTAAAAAAGTAAAACATTTTTTTAATAACATTTCAAAAAAGTTAAATCTCACCCCCCTTTACCCAGTTCTAATAAAAATTAACCCTTTCCCTGCCAGTTGATCACTGCCTACAGTGATCAAAATACAGATTACAGTATTATACTGTGATATGATTTTTATTAACCCCTGAGGGTTAACTTTTATTATTTTTTTTTAACCCTCACTATTAGTGCTGCTCACTATAGTTAGGGATTAACAGTAAAATAAAAGTTTATAACATTTTTAAAAGTGTAAACAAAGTTTTAAGAAATACAAAAAGAAAAGTCCTGCGCTCACTCCCATCACTCCTGGGCGACAGCAACGACTACAGTACACATCAGCTAACACATATAGTAAAAACCAAAGGAAAAAAGTTACCTGCACTCTCTCCTTAATTCCTATGTATATTTACACAAATGGAGGTTATTTAGTTGCTCCAATGGCCACTGGAGGGAATGCCCGCCTGCCAACATCTAGGGGGGTCAGCGATCCAGCCCAGACCACCCACAGCACTCATGCATGAGAGACACAGTCAGGCCACATGAGGAGGGGAAGAAGCAAACCATAATGGCACCTACCAAGAGGCACACATCCAGTGGCCATTGGAGTAACTAAATTACCTCCATTTGTTTAAATATACATAGGGATTAAGGAGAGACTGCAGGAAAGTTTTAAGAAAGTTTAACAAAATTAATAAGTAAACAAAAAAGTAACAAAATACATTTAAAAATGCTCATTACCACTACACCTGCAACAAACTAGCAAAAAAATGATCCCTCGCTAAGGTTCAAAATATTCAGTTTGAATTACCCCGGGGTGTATTCTTTAATAAATAGTATGTGTTTGTGGGGAAGTTTGAATAACCAACCAGCTAAACTACTCTGAAATGAAACATGGACACAGAGTAAAACTTCAAAGTTAGAAAAAAACTGAATGGCTGCGTCTTAAATGTGCCCCTTCAACATCCACATATACCTGGCAAAGGTACATACAGGGGTATTGTTCTACTCAGACGACACAGCTGAGAAAAATATGAACTGTTATACAGCCATAGCACACATACGATTTGCAAAATGTACTTTGCAAACTCACTTTGTGTGTCAAAAAGGCAGAAAAAATGCTTATTACAACTACATTTGGTACAAGCTAGAGGAAAAATGATCCCATGCTAAGGTTCAAAATGTGCCTTTTGAAATACTATGGGGTGTCTTCTTTAAGAAATGGTATGCTTTTATGGGACAGTTTGAATATATAGCTTGCTAAAATACTCCAAAATGGGACCTGGACACAGCGTAAAAATTCTAAGTTTGAAAAAAACTGGAATGGCTGTGTCTCACGTGACCCTTCAATATCCACATATACCTGGCAAAGGTACATACGGGGGTATTACTGTACTGAGATGACATAGCTAAGCAACAAATCAAGTATTATACAGTCATAACACACATAAGGTTTGCAAAATATACAGTGCAAACTCACTTTGTGTGTCAAAAAGGCATAAAAAATGCTTATTACCACTACACTTGGTACAAGCTAGCGGAAAAATTATCTTTTTGAAATACCCTGGGATGTCTTCTTTAAGAAATTGTATGCCTTTATGGTGTAGCTAGAATATGTAGCCTGCTCAATTGCTCCAAAGTGGGACACGGACCCTCCATGAAAATTCACACTTGAAAACCTGAACTTGTCACGTCTCTTTTACAGCACTGTAACTTCACAAAATAGTGTCTAGGTCATACATTGGTCATATTGTTTTACTCAGAAGATGTAACTGAGCATAATGTGTGGGATTTTACGACAATGGTACATATCAAGTGTAAGAAATACTCAGCAAAAATGCAACATGTATGTTAAAATGCAATTTCCCCCACCTCTTACCGCTAACATTGACACAAATTGGTGAAAAAATAGTGACAAGTTAAGGCACAATATACACCATATAAGATGGGTGTCTGCTTTATCAAATGGAAGCCCTTTGTGGGGTTATTTAAACAGTCAAACTGCTATAATACCCCAAAATGAGACATAGGCCCATCATATCCATCTATGAAAATTCTAACTATGAAAACTGAAATAACCTTGTCTCTTATATGGCATTGTAGCTTTACAAAATAGTGCCAAAGGTGTACAATTGGGGTAACGTTATACTCCGCAGATGTAGCTGAACACAATATGGGGTTCTGTGCAGGAATAGCACACACCAGCTTTACGAAATACACTTTACAAAAACCTTGTTATATGTGTCACGGCCCCCGGCTTGCTGCAAGGTGCGGTCGCGCCCGACCAGCACAACCACACCAACGAACTGAGCTTACCTGCTCAGCGGCGAGTCTGGAGCCGCTCCTCCGGCTTCTCCTGGCCGCCTCTCCTAAAGAAAAATGGCGGCGGACACAAGGTCACGGCCATTTATAGCCCCGCCCCCAGGGTCATATGAACGTGAGTGTGACGTCACAACGTCGATGTGCATGCACGTTCTGGGGTCAGAGGTCACCCTCTGACCAATCACAGTCAAAGGAGGGATATTTAAATCCCTGAAGCTACCAGTTCATTGCCTTGTCGTGGTTTCCAGTCCTTGTTCCTGAAAGTGCGTTTTCTCTTCCTATTATTGATATTCCCAGTATATTGACCTTGGCTTTTCCTGACTACTCTGATTTCTGGTTTCCCTGACTTGGCTTATTTAACAGTATTTTGTATTTCTGGATTCCTTGATCTTGGCTATCCCTTGATCATTCTCTGTCTTTAATGTATTAGTCCGGCCATTCTAAGAACCGGTTTACATTCTGTCTTTTTCCATTCTGTCTATGTAGATGTTACATAGTTTTGCGTGCTGGGCCACACTAGCAGTCGTGACAATATGCCAAAATAGAGAAAAAACACAATTTTTGCTCCATTATTTAGCTGTACTCTATAAATCAAGACACATAAATGAATTTATTTTGAATTACTTTTTCTAAGCTGGACATATTATTGCCAAAACTGTGAAAAAAAAATGTGTTGGTTTTTTTTCCGTTAGTTGGCGGGCTTTTTTTATAATTAATGAGAATTTATCTATGTATATGTGACATCAAATTAAAGCCCTTTTTGCCCTCTAAAAAACGATATATAATATGTGTTGGTGCAATAAATGACAGAGATGCAAATTGCGTTTGAACACAAACAGCAAAAAGTGCAAAAATGGCTTACTTACCTGGGTCCAGCACCAATGTCCCTCGGAGCTGGCTCCACTCCGCCTATGCTCCTCCCCTGCCGAAGTCCGCCAGTGGGGGAGACCTAATGCGCATGCACGTCAATGGCCGCGCTTGCATTAGGATCTCCCCATAGGAAAGCATTATTCAATTGCTTTCCGACGCTGGAAGTCCTCACGCATAGCTTGTTGGCCATATACTCTTGCATTACATTATCACTTGAGAAAGTGCTTCCTTTGTTTCAGATTCACCAACAGTTACAGAACCTTACATGATTGCATTGTTATGAGTTGAATGTTTTCTGCATTTCCTTACAATAAAAATCAAATAAGAATCTAAAAACAAAATGTTTGGATTTTGTGTTTATTCCCCATGGTGATATTTGCCAAATATACACTATGTATTATACATATCTCTGGTTGCAGCAATACAAGCTGTAGTGTATACAGATTAAAAACAGTCTTTGATAAATTTACATAAAAAGTATAGACATACATGAAGAATGTATAGGTCTTTTCACCGAAACGTGAATTGTTGTCATTTTCAAAGTTAGGATAGGCTATTAATTATGGGTCATTCTAATCACCATATTTATTGTGGTTTTGGTGCAAAAGGACTTAGGTTTGCAAAAAAACAGAGTTCTCCCAGTAGTGGAAGCATTGTAGGGTTTTCAATACATGCCTTTACTGAGACGCTGAATGGCAGTGCTGTACAGTGGGCAGGACTGACCTAGGAAGCATCTCTAGTTGCTGTCAGAGGAATGGTCACTAGAGTTGTTACTAGGCGGTAATGTAAACACTGCCTTTTCTCTGAAAAGGCAGTGCTTACATTAAAAAGGCTACAGGGACTGAATACTCTCACCAGAGCAACTACATTAAGCAGTAGTTGTTCTGTGTATATAGTGTCCCTTTAAGGTATTAGCAGGGCTAGATCACTGCTGATATCAGGGGGACGTAGGTATTACAGGGATCTCCTCTGTTAGCTGGGGCCTCAGACTGACCGACAAGCTGTGTGCAATGCAGGTGGCGTAACTACCACGGTGGCAGGCACGGCCGCAGCTCCGACCCCAGTCCAGGGGGCCCGACCACAGCTGCGACCCCTGCACCCATGGCCACCTTAACTTCAGGGCCGGTGCATGGCTCCACCTGCCAGTTGCCGGGTGACCATTAGGAAGGGAGCAGCGTGCTTGCTGTTCTTCTCCTGCCGGTCTCTGTCTGTAGCGTGTAGACATGTGCAATTCGTTTCGGGCTGAATATGAATTCGGACGAATTTCAGGCAATTCGGACATTCGGGTACTTCCGAATGTCCGAAATGCCGAATTGACGAAGTGCCGAATTGACGAAGTTCCGAAATTACCGAAGTGTCGAAGTGCCGAAGCACAGTATTGCCTAAGTACTAATATACTTACCCAGTGGAAGAAGAATGTTACACTGTTTACAATTTTAAATAAAAAGTATACAAACATAGCCAGGATTCAGCTGTAAGCATTTGCAACACTTACAACAATCAAGTAACATAGATTCATATAAAATGTAAGTTACTTAGCAAGTCAATGTAATGACAGGAATGAATAAGTAGATAACTCCCTAATTCCCAGGGTATTAGGGAGCTATCTACTAAAAGGCTGAAAGACCTAAATTGGTCTTTCAGCCAAATTTACTAATACTAAGTAAAGATTACCGTGAGTAGGGGCATGTCTATTAAACAGTGAGCAGCCTATGGCTGGGGGTGGGTGGGGGCCCTAAAATACTAATTAGGGGGGACCTAATATCCTCCCCCCTGGCTGCCAGCCCTGAGATGTGGGTGGGGGCCCCCTCCCCCAAAATAATTAACCTCTACCTACCCCCCTCACCCTAAAAATAATGAGGGTGGGGGGCATTTAACTAAGTACCTGGAAAAAAAATAAAACTTACCATTTGATGTTTTCTTTCTTCTAAAATCTTCTTTTTTCAGCCCCAAAAAAGGCCAAAGAAAAAGCCATAATAACCGACGCACTTAAAAAAACAAACAAAAAACAAGCGCAAAAAAAAAAAAATACATCTTCATCCATGGAGGGCTCCACGCAGACTGAGCTCTGCAGGGTGGGGGAAGGCTTTATGTCATTTTACATAGCGTGGGAAAGTTATTTGGAATTTTCCCACGCTGTGTAATTTGACTCATAACACTCTGATTGGTGGATTAAGTAACCAATCAGAGTGTTATGAGTCAAATCCAATCAGAGTGCTCTGAGCCTAATTGCAGGGCGGGGCAAGGCTTTATAAGCCTTCCCCCGCCCTGCAGAGCTCAGTCTGCGTGGAGCCCTCCATGGGTGAAGATTTTTTTTTTTTTTGCGCTCGTTTTTTTTTTTTTTAAAGTGCCCCCCCCATTATTTTACTTTAGGGCCCCCACCCGCCGTTCAGGGGTGGGGGATGGGGGGGGGGCAATAGGGCCCCCTGGGGCTCGGGAGGGGGGGCCCATTTTTTACACTGTTTAAGAGACATGCCCCTACTCGCGGTATAGTGAGTAGGGGCACAATTTACTAATACTAAGTAATTTTTACTTAGTATTAGTAAATTTGTCTGAAAGACCAATTTAGGTCTTTCAGCCTTTTGGTAGATAACTCCCTAATACCGTGGGAATTAGGGAGTTATCTACCAAGCGGCTGCAAGAGACGTTCTGAAATTCCGAAGTCCAGAAATGTCGAAGTGCCGAATTGCCTAAGTGCCGAATTGCCGAAGACCCGAAGTTCCGAAATTACCGAATTTCCGAAGTGTCGAATTGCCGAATTTCGGAATGCCGAACCGAACCGAAATTTTTTCCCATGCACATGTCTAGTAGCGTGGATTGAGGATTGCGGTCTGACAGGAAGTGCTCAATGAGAGAGCCCCTCCTGTGACTCTGCATACTGCACACAACTCACAGGGTAAGAACGTACAGCAGAGTATGGGTAGGTAATGAAACAAATAGAAGGGTTGTTGTGGTGAGAGAGGGAACAAGACAAATAGAAGGGTTGAGGGTGGGTGATAGAGGGAATGAGACAAATGGAGAGGCTAGTGGGGTGAGAGAGGGAATGAGTCAAATGGAGAGGTTGGGGGTGAGAGAGAGAATGAGTCAAATGGAGGGGCTGGAGGAGAGGGAATGAGACAAATGGATGGCTGGGAGGCAGGGAATGAGACACATGGAGGGGTGGGAGAGAGGGAATGAGACACATGTAAGTGTTGGGGGAGGAGATCCATGGAGAGACTGTGTAAATGAGACATACAGGGAGTGCAGAATTATTAGGCAAGTTGTATTTTTGAGGATTAATTTTATTATTGAACAACAACCATGTTCTCAATGAACCCAAAAAACTTATTAATATCAAAGCTGAATATTTTTGGAAGTAGTTTTTAGTTTGTTTTTAGTTTTAGCTATGTTAGGGGGATATCTGTGTGTGCAGGTGACTATTACTGTGCATAATTATTAGGCAACTTAACAAAAAACAAATATATACCCATTTCAATTATTTATTATTACCAGTGAAACCAATATAACATCTCAACATTCACAAATATATATTTCTGACATTCAAAAACAAAACAAAAACAAATCAGTGACCAATATAGCCACCTTTCTTTGCAAGGACACTCAAAAGCCTGCCATCCATGGATTCTGTCAGTGTTTTGATCTGTTCACCATCAACATTGCGTGCAGCAGCAACCACAGCCTCCCAGACACTGTTCAGAGAGGTGTACTGTTTTCCCTCCTTGTAAATCTCACATTTGATGATGGACCACAGGTTCTCAATGGGGTTCAGATCAGGTGAACAAGGAGGCCATGTCATTAGATTTTCTTCTTTTATACCCTTTCTTGCCAGCCACGCTGTGGAGTACTTGGACGCGTGTGATGGAGCATTGTCCTGCATGAAAATCATGTTTTTCTTGAAGGATGCAGACTTCTTCCTGTACCACTGCTTGAAGAAGGTGTCTTCCAGGAACTGGCAGTAGGACTGGGAGTTGAGCTTGACTCCATCCTCAACCCGAAAAGGCCCCACAAGCTCATCTTTGATGATACCAGCCCAAACCAGTACTCCACCTCCACCTTGCTGGCGTCTGAGTCGGACTGGAGCTCTCTGCCCTTTACCAATCCAGCCACGGGCCCATCCATCTGGCCCATCAAGACTCACTCTCATTTCATCAGTCCATAAAACCTTAGAAAAATCAGTCTTGAGATATTTCTTGGCCCAGTCTTGACGTTTCAGCTTGTGTGTCTTGTTCAGTGGTGGTCGTCTTTCAGCCTTTCTTACCTTGGCCATGTCTCTGAGTATTGCACACCTTGTGCTTTTGGGCACTCCAGTGATGTTGCAGCTCTGAAATATGGCCAAACTGGTGGCAAGTGGCATCGTGGCAGCTGCACGCTTGACTTTTCTCAGTTCATGGGCAGTTATTTTGCGCCTTGGTTTTTCCACACGCTTCTTGCGACCCTGTTGACTATTTTGAATGAAACGCTTGATTGTTCGATGATCACGCTTCAGAAGCTTTGCAATTTTAAGAGTGCTGCATCCCTCTGCAAGATATCTCACTATTTTTGACTTTTCTGAGCCTGTCAAGTCCTTCTTTGACCCATTTTGCCAAAGGAAAGGAAGTTGCCTAATAATTATGCACACCTGATATAGGGTGTTGATGTCATTAGACAACACCCCTTCTCATTACAGAGATGCACATCACCTAATATGCTTAATTGGTAGTAGGCTTTCGAGCCTATACAGCTTGGAGTAAGACAACATGCATAAAGAGGATGATGTGGTCAAAATACTCATTTGCCTAATAATTCTGCACTCCCTGTATGGAGGGCTGTGAGGGGAATGAGACACATGAAGGGATTGAGAAGGGAGGGAATGAGACAACTGAAGGAGTTAGGGGGAGGGATGAGAGGGGGAATTAGACAAATAGAGGGGTTGGGGATGGGTAAGGGACATATCGAGGGACTGTGGGGTAAGAGAGGGAGTAAGACACATGGAGGGGCTGGAGTGGAATGAGATAAATGAAGGAGCTGGAAGGGGGATGAGACATGAAGGGTCTGGGAGGCAGGGAATGAGACACATGGAGCGGTTAGGGGGAGAAAATGAGACACATGAAGGAGCTGGGGGGGTGAGACACATGGAGGGACGGTTGGAATAAGACACATGAAGGGTCTAGGGAGAGGAGATGAAGCACATGGGGGGAATGAGACATATCGAGGGGCTGGGGGCTGAGAGAGGGAATGAGTTAAATAGAGATGCTGGGAGGT